TACTTGTCTTGTTGCCGAATGGACATCACAATTATAAATTTTATGTTTTGAATCAGTTAAATTTGATTTAAAATGATATTAAAAAAATTAAAAATGATTATTATTTTAAAAATATCATATCCAAATACAAAATATAAATTATCAATGGCATCATCTATATTATGTTGCTATTGCATTGTCTATTATGTTGCCTTTCCGAAGAGTGTGTGTGGGGGTAACGAATCGGTGGAACTGATTGGAGTTTATGGGAAAATAACGTGTTGGGTCCATTATGCAACTTTCTAAAATTTTACTATCAGTGATCTAATCTAACAAGTCAATGTGATCTTTCTCACGATCGAAAAGCAAAAGCATATGTGATATTTAATAAATGTGATCATTAACTAAAGATGAAAACTAAAGTCAACTTCATCCTTTTATTACACATCATCTTTTTAATTAAATAATAGACTAAGCAAACTCACTTAAAAAATGGATGGAAGGATCCAATTTCAACATTCAATAAAATTTAGGGAGTATAATTGCTGAATCAGAAATACAGGAACTAAAATTGCACAAATATAAAACTAAGGGGACTAAAATACATTTAAATCTATTTTAAATAAACAAATATTATGTTAAAATGCATGATACAAGAAGAGAACTAAAATACATTTTAAGTCTATTTTAAATAAGCAAACATTATGTAGGAATACATGATGCAAGAAGAGAAAAAAGATAAAAATAAAATAAGTTAAAATTTAATATATTGAGAATATGAATGTTATACAAAAGGATTACATCATACTTTACTTTAATATAGGTAACAAAACTAATAACTCTGTTACTTAATTCCTATACAATTTCATCTCAAATACATTATGTTACTAGTGTAAAAACTTTTGAACTACATAATAAGTAAAATTAACTTATTTTTTTTAATCCATACCTTCTTTAATTTTAGTTATTTCTTTTGTATATTGACTCAAAACAAAACTAGTATAAACATATTTAAGATGCATAATGTGTAGTATTTTTAATTTAATTTAATAATTTATTATAGATTAGGTTGGTTCGAGTTTATTAAATATCAAATCCCTTAATTTGCTATGCAATCTAATTATAATTGGTTAATGAAAAATTACTCGACCCAATGACCTATACCAACCCACAAAAATGTAATTAGGTTGGTTTGGGTAGGACAAATTTGCATGTGAATTATTATCCGCTTACACCCCTAACTTTTAGAAAAACTTTCTTATAAAGAAAGATTTTTTACAAATGTTATCACTTACATATATTTGATTATCTAAATTTCTTATCTTTTTTATTTTTTTTTATTTTTTTTTTTGTTTTCAAATTAAATTTTAATTATTTTTATAAGAAATTATAGAATGATTAAAAATAACTATTGTATTACAATATAAATTATTTATTCTAAACTTGAAATAAAATTTATATACTCAAAAAAATTATTTATTATGAGCATTTTAGTAATAATAATAAATTTTATATATTTAATCATTTTAATTATAAACTAGTATTTTAGTGTGTGTAATGCACATTTTAAATATCTATTTTATATAATTAAAATTTAAAATAAATGATGTATATAAACAAATATTATGTTTGAATATAAAAATTATATTTAAATTTAAATAAAATATTTTAAAAATATAAATTATATTTTAAATTTATGATAACTAATTTATATTGTAATATAATTATTTTTATTTATTGATAATTTATTTTAAAATATTTAAATTTAATTCATAAATAATTATGATAAATAAAAGTCTAATTGGATATGAAGTTAAATGAATACTTCCTTTTTTTTTATTAAAAAAAAGGGTAAATGTGTGGTAACATCACTATGTGAGAGGGGATCCTAATTAGTAATATCTCGCCTCACAACAATCATATGTTACATATCATAAGAATTATTATTAAAAAAAGCAAAATACAAGAATAAGTGGGGACCAAACCAAAACCCACAACAAAGAAACAACACAAAAAAGAAAAGGAAAAACAATCACATATACGAACTACAATAAATATAGCTAACACATATTACAAACTAAGTAATTCAGCCATCAGAATGCTCTACGCTTGCACAACAACCTCAATCACCACAAGTCACGAAAATTTGGAAGATGCAGCTGCCCTTGATCTTGTTCTAGACATGGACAATGATAATTTTTTTGACTTTTGAATCATAATCTTTTGTAAATCCTTATTTGTTTTCTTCCAATCATATCCACTAACAGCTAGCACTTCAAAATCTTGCTGAATGGAAGGAGGAAAACTGGATAGCTCCTGTTGAATTTGATAATAGTCAACAAACTCTTTCAGAATTTGATCTGAGGCAGTATCTCTGCCTGAAAAAATCGAACTTGCACCCAAAGATTGTCTAACCAAAGGTGGATCAATGTTATTTTATTCCTCCTCCAAGTCTAAATTAGCTTTAGCAATAGCAACAAAGTCCCAACGTGTATGAAGTAAAATGAAACCTAAATACACACTCAGATAAAATAGACATTCATATTTTATATAGAAGTTGATTTTAATCATATAAAACAAACATTTATTTTGTACATTACACAAGTTATATTACTAATATATATTAAATCATTAATACATTTATTATCAAAATCACCGATTCATTTATCTCCATGAATTTTAATCTACTCTTAAATGAGAGAATTTATGTGATGTGAAAGTTATTTTAAATTACAAAACTAGCCTTCATCACCAATTAAAAGTGTTTGTAAAATATAAAGGATAATCATGTAATTTAATTTATAATATGAACTAAACTATTTTATTTAATCATATATAAGCCAATTAAAACTTTTATCTCCCCTTTATTTCTCTTCGAATTTTCTTCTTTCAAATAACTTCAATTTTTACTCTATTTCTCATTCCACTTATCTTATTTTTCCTATTTCTTTTCTCTTTACCAAAGATAAGCATCAAAATTCCTACATAAAAAACTTATCTTGATTACTAAGCTTATACCTATTTTTTGTCTCGACCAGAAAACAAAAGCCGTAAACAAATATACACCAATTAACTTGAAAATAATGGAGTGTAATTGACGGACATACCAATACACAAAAGTGTAGATATTTTCAACTAAAATATTATTTTACAAATATGAAGTTAAGCAAATGAAGTTGTACACTAGACGAATAATGGAGCTAGCCAGTAGAATTTAAAACTAACATAAAAATATTCATACATAAAAATACGTATTTTAAATAGACATTTATTAAACTCATTTACCGTTTAATTATCACTGACGCTGTGACTTCAGACACTAGTTTAACTTTTATTTTTTGGGCTACAAAAATTAATTATTCGTTCTTTCTAGTTTAAAAATAACGATTGTACCTGTATCCGCTAGAAAGGCATAAAATTTCCATGCCGATAGAGGCAATGGGTGCATATTACCTACCAAACAATCACAACCTGGAGCCACATGTTAACAATGGCTGGTTTTATGTAAACGAGCATTTCTTGTGAACCATATAAATAAGCTAAAACATCGATCCAGGCTAACACGAAATTGACCAAAAAAAAGGTTTACTCAACTCCAAAAAGTATCCAAAATTTTCGACCTAGAAATAAATAGCACAGGCAAATAAATTTTCAAGAAAATGGTTCTCTAAACGCAAAATAAGACAGTTTCTACTTGTGCCGTAATGGCACGAAGTTTCCTTCAACAAAAATAAATGTATTATTAGTCAAATTGATTCATCCATATTGTTTACAGCTAACAGATGCAATAACTTGTACAAAATAATGCTTAATGAACTAGAAAATCAAAATGTTGATTGTCTAGTATCTTATGAAAACAAGAATTTCATAATTACTTGAAGAGAATCTTTTACTCAAAAATGAAAATGCAAAATTATCAAAAGAATAAAAAAAAGGTCTTGAAGAAACAAAACTGCTAAAAAAGAAATTGAATCACTAAAATCTGATTTATCAAAGTTTACTCTAGGAACTAAGAACTTTGAAAATCTATTGAAATATTCTAAGAGTAAAAATGATAAGTCTGGATTAGGATATGTTGATTATGAATCAGAAAATAAATCAAGTACATCTGCATATCCTACTTATGGGAAGCATAGGCATCTGACGCCCAAGTGCAGCCAGATGCACAAGAAGGGGTATTCCAAAACCTCAAACGCTAACATTTATGGACCCAAATCCATTTGGGTACCAAAGACTGAAATAATACATGTTGCAGATTTATTCAACAAGAAAAAAAAAAGTGTCCAGTCATGGTACCTGGACAGTGACTGCTCGCGACACATGACAGGCAGAAAGTCTATGTTCCTAGACCTCAGGTCCAAGAAAGGAGGCCTAGTCATATTTGGTGGGGACAGAAAGGACAAATCATGGGGATATGTAAAATAGGTATAAATTCCTCTATCACCATTAATAACGTCCTATATGTTAAAGGATTAACACATAATCTGCTGAGCATAAGTCAATTATGTGACAATGGTTACGAAGTTTCCTTCAACAAAAATAAATGTATTATTAGTCAAATTGATTCATCCATATTGTTTACAGCTAACAGATGCAATAACTTGTACAAAATAATGCTTAATGAACTAGAAAATCAAAATGTTGATTGTCTAGTATCTTATGAAAACTAGTGATTGTGGCACAGGAAGCTTGGTCATGCAAGCTTGAGATAAATCTCAAAGCTGAAAAAGCATAACCTCGTAAGAGGTCTACCAAGTCTTGTGTATCAATCGAATAGCTTATGTAAAGCATGTCAAAATGGGAAACAAATTAAAAGTTCATTAAAACCTTGACTTCCACTAAAATTACCCAGAAACCTTAACACTCACAAACACCATTCTTTGAAACTAGACAGAGCCGGAAAAACTATAAATGCTAAACATTGGAACCTAGATGAAACGAAATATAAAAAACCGAAATTCACACTCTGCATATCAGGTAAACATGCTACGGAGAAGATAGAAGAAGAATCGGATACGCACCATTGCTGTGATGCTCGATCTCTTCCCCCCCGAACGTGACGGAAAAGAGTGTGAGAACGAATTAGGGTTAGCAAGTGTTTTTTGCTTACAAGGTATTGTTTTGGGTGGGTCGGGTCAGAATGGGTTTAGGGTTTTACAGGCCCAATGGGTTTAGGGTTTCGTCCTATTAGCTTGGTTTTACTATTAAACCTCCAGAAATAGCAGGTTTTAGCTATTCTTAATTTCGATGGCCAAATTTTCCATATTGGTTGTTAATGTTATGCGTGATTTATTTATTTTTAATTATTAGTTGCATTTTTTTTATTGATGTCACAATTATTTTAGAATTTAATTTGAAAAAAAAATATAAATTAATAATGTAAAGACTGTTTATACTATAAATTAATAAAAAAAATTGTTATGATAATTTATAGACTTTTTTAATAACTAACTCAAATAATATTAAGAATGATTTAATAATTAATTATATATGATATTTTGTATGCCATACATATTTATTAAATTCTATTTAATATAAGCTTAAATATCTTTTTATCTCTATAATTTTATAAATTTTATCTTTTAGTCTCTAAAATTAAAATTATATTTTAGTCTATTATATATCATTTTTGTTTCATTTGTCTCTTATCATTTATTATTGTAAGAACTAAGAGGTAAAATTTATGAAATTATAAGAACTATAAGAAAACAAAAACAGAATGTATAAAAACTAAAATAAAATATTTTTAATTACAAACATAAAATTCATGAAACTTTTGAGGATTAAAAAGGTATTTAAATATTTATATACATTATCAATATGATTTTTATCTCACGGATGTAGGCATCGTTTAGTAATTTTTTTTAAATTTAAAAAATAATTATGTCAAAAGTTGTTTTGTGTTACATAAAATAAGACATTTTCCATTGTCTGAAACATTTTTACCAAGCCTCAATTTGAAAAGATAATCTTCACTCTTTGAAATTTTTTTGCTTCATAAATGTGTTGACCTCAACGTAATTTCGATAGTTAAAATATGTATATACAGTTGGTTTTTATTTTTTAATTTAAATACATTAAAAAAATAAAAAACTAAACTCATAAAACCCTATTCGTATGGATAGTTGTAATCGTAGTTACAAGATAACTTGGCAATGGCAAGAGGTGATCATTTGAGGATCAAAATCTTCTGTCTCCAACTCCTGCTCCCAAATCCTGTCCCTCCAATCACAAAATGCCATCACATCATTATTTTTAATTTTGATTTTGATTTTTAAAAAGTGTAACTGTTATAGTTTTTTTTCTTCTTCTTTAATTCCCGCACTGTTCTTCGTCTTGTTCCCTCCTCTTTTATGGTCAACAATTTTTTATGCAGCCACTGAAAAGTAATCAAGGCGCAGCGAGTTAAAATGTAAAATCTAGGATTCCCTTGTAACGGTGGAAACCTTACCAAATGTGTGAAGAAGGCGAGGCAAGTAAAAAATAATCAACAAGTGTGAAAAACCGTAACAGTTACACTTTTTAAAAATCAAAATCAAAATTAAAAATAATAATGTGATGGCGTTTTGTGATTAGAGGGACAGGGTTTAGGGACAGGAGTTGGAGAGAGAAGATTTTGATCCATCATTTGAAAACAGTGTTACTTATCTTTTCTTTATAATATGACTTTTTCCTGTAATTAAAAAACTTGAAGGGAATGTAAAGTGCATCATTCAAGGGTGAATACTGTCATGGTGGATGTAATCATGCCGATGCAAATAAATAAAAATCCAGTACGAGATGTAAATGCATAATGAATATATATGTGACATAATTACATCCTTAGCATCCAAATAATGTATAACAAGAAAACCAGAGGTTCTAAAGTACTTTTATACAACTAAATATCTATGCAAACAACCGATTAAAGTTTAGTTGTATGCAGATTGTTCTCTTGAAAGAGAATATATGTAATGTTTGATAAATAAATTTCTATCAACTGAATTCCCAGTAAGGCTTTATACAAAGTATCTCTATTTCCTTTATGCAAACACTAGTTCTGTGAAACTTGAACAACTCTATGGCAACAGAAGTCAAGCGACCACAGCCATTCAGGTACAGAATGGAGAGATTTTTACACCCTTCCCTCAAAGCTTGCAAGCCATCATCACAGAGATTGCGGCATCGATTAACGTGCAGTGTCTTCAAATTCTGACAGTATGACCCCACAGCTCTCCATCCAGGTAGCCTCACCTCATGACATAAGGCCAAGTTCCATTCTTCAAGTAGTGGACATCCCTTGGCAATTGCCACAACAGAAGTATCAGAAACAGTTCTACACAGCCTCATGTCAAGGATTTTGAGGCATGAGGCAAAGCCTATTCCAAATAAAGGATCTTTCAAAAGAGACAAACTCAAACAAGAAACATCTAGATACTGTATTCCTCCACCACTAACAATTCCCAATACCCCTTCTGGCTTTAGCTTACAAGACTCAGCCTCAACATAAGCTAGAGTTTTTGAACACCCTTCAAATCCAACACCACTTATGCCCTCACAGTTTGATATGTTAATTGCCTGAAGCTGCCGACACCAGTGTGTAAGAGCTTTCAACCCTTTGTCAGATATTTGTGAGCAGTTGGAGAGGTTGACATATTTCATAGATAAGCAAGCACTGGCTAAAGTTTCTAATCCTTTATCAGTAATACCGAGGCACCGATGGAGACTAATTGACATCAAGGAGGGACAACCAGAAGCAACCAGCGAAAGGCCATAATCAGTGACATTAGAACAACAGTCCATATTAAGTTTTTGCAGATATGAACCATAGATTAGCAAACGCGTCAATCCTGAATCATGCAAGTCTGTGCAATTAGATAGGGATAAAGATTCTAAATGTTGAAATCGCCGCAGCAACCTATGGAGTTGGAATGTGTGAATGTCAAAACCCTTGCTTGATAAGGATGAAGGGTGTAATATAAAACTTGAACACTCAAATTGCAGGGACCGACGATTGAAATCTTGAACATGGAGCCATCGCCGGCAGGTCAAGCCAAATGAATTGCGATCCATGCGACTATCTAAACCATGGAAAATAACAGCAAGGCAATCATCTGGGAGGTGCATGATGGAGGTACCTTCATTTTTAGAAAGATCTCCCATATCAACCTTATCAAGACTCTTCTGAAGAAGGCTGTAATGAGTGAATCTTTATTGCGTATTTCCTCTGAGAGCTAGATGAAGTAGGATACTCAAATCCACAAAGAGCATGTGATTCTCCACCATAACCATAACCAATATGAACCCCACATTTACGGCAAAGCAGTTTAGTCTTTGATCGATTAAACAATGAGACAGGAAAACAACCTATTTCGTCAATCCGCGTAAATCGGCTGAGATCAATTGAAGCAAAAATGATTGATCCTTTCTTAACTGACTTTTGATATTTAGATGCAGAGTCAGAAGTGATTCTATTTGATGATGTCAAGTTTAGAGGGTATCCACAAGAGCCACAACTGCAGTCAATGCCAAAATTTCAAAACACAGATAATACATATTATAGCATAAAATATCCAAAAATTGTCAGGCATTTTACAAAAATAATCATGAAAGAACACTGCTCATGTGAGGAAACTTCAGCATGCTGAGTTATTCTCTATACAAAATAGATTGTAATCAATACATTTTCGTTCAATTCATTCTATAAAATTTCAGTCTTGCAGAACCAATCAACCAAATGTATATTATTCCATCAAAAGAAAACGTGGGCAAAACATTATCATACAATACTAAGTGGAAGGTCATCTTGTCTTCAAAACCAACACATTATATCATCTCCAACTAGCTGTTGGTGATGAGGTTGTCTATTTCTAGCATCAAACTAATTACATAATTTCCTATGACCCTCCTACAATAAAGAACATATCTATCTAATGCTTTATGAATAACCAAAATGATTCCTTCCCATGAAATTGAACAGTGTAAGATGTCTCTTGTTATTCTTTTCAAGCTTTCCATTCTATATACAAAACATTTTTTTTTGCATCTCCAATTAAGACATGCTGTGTATAAAGCATTAAAGTTGAAAGATCAAACCATCAGTATTTTTTAGAAAAATCATTCAGTTATTGACGTCATACATTCTAACGAGGTACCAGTTTGCTAATGTGACATGCACTAGTCCCAATTACTGAAAACAAGTAAAAAGGAACCAATGCAGAATGTCTACAGTACACCTATAATACACTTTCCAATTCATTATAAGTTTCTGTTAAGATCCAATTGCAAGGTATGGGACTCGAGTCCCACATCGTAAGTATGAGATTTTACGATGGGGTTTATAAAGCCTTGGGCTTTCCAAATACAATTGCTAGCTTTTGTAGTGAGGTTCTCCCAATGTTCTTATCAATTAGTATCAAAGTCTTCCACCATATCTCCCAACTGCAAACGAGCAGTGTGGGTGGTAACGTTAGCATTACAGTGCTTGCCCAGGACTAGCCAAAGGGCACGGGGCTAGCAAACAGCCAACTGGCATGAACCCCAGAGTTACAAAGTTTGGTGGGATGGATATTAGGATTCAATTGTAAGGAGTATTGAGTCCTATATCATAAGCATGAGATTCTAATGTGTGGTTTATAAGGCTTTGGCTTTGGTCTATCCAACTACAATAACTTTTTTGTGGTGTGGTTCTGGGTTCTTATCGGTTTTCCTTTATAATTATCATATCTTTGTCATTGTTCATAATTTTCTATTTCTTCATTGTGCATGGCACAATTTTTTTTCTACCAAAACTAAAGTCATTAACCCTTAAAACTATTTCCCCCCTTACATCAATAAAATTGATACTCTCTATTTATACAAATTTGTCCACTCTTTGCATTCTGAAACTCAGTCTTTTTCATACCAAGAATAAATTCTTCAAACCGTAAGTTACAAGATTTTGATTGTCAAAACTCCAGATTCATAACATGAAATAGGGATTAGAAAAGCAAACATACACACAAGAATCATAAACACCAAAGAAAAGATAAACAAATAAACTTCATATCCCCAACTACGCATAGACAGACAAGACTAAAGCAGTAATCATTCACCAGACAGTTAGAAATACACAGCAACCGTGTTGTAGAAAACATAACCTAAACCAAACCTCACTATTATCACGTGCCAAATCACAAAGCCATGATAATAAAAACATGTCCCCATATGAACCACTTGACAAGCCAACAACTCGAAATTCAGATAAAACATTCGCGTTTGTCGACAACAGATCACAAAATCTAACACAGGAATTACAAAATTACACTGATCAAGTAAATTTTTTACAAAATTTAACGTCAACCAACACACAGTGAGCATATGCACAAACATGACATTCACATATACAAAAAATTACACAATCAAGCAACAGGAAACAACGAAATAGCTGACAATAATCAAAACCTGAAAAAAAAAAATAACAAATTTCGGACACCACCATACACAACACAACACTAGCAGAGAAGAATAAATGATCAAGTGGGCATGAATTGGCCGTGGAAAATAAAGAAGTAAAAAGAGAATTACCAATAAGAGACGTCAGCTTGTGACATCGTGATGATCAACAACAAGAATTGTCATGACAGAGATCCTTCATTCTCTGATTTGCAGAATGGAAAAGTATTTGCACACGTTTCCTTGAATTCAACTACCTTCACTCGTGAAAGTTTTATCTGTACCCTCTTTTGCTCTCTCTCAAGTTTGAATACATCTGCATTGCTTGTTTAGTAAGTCCACCTTTTGTGTCCAAAATCAATAAAGGTTGTTGTAGCATTTAAAACATAAAAAAATAAAATAAAAATGGGCGGTGATTCTACGGGATTGACTTGAACCTCCATAAACAAACAAATCCACCTCTTTATTTCAAGAATAAGGCGACACGTTAACTGTGATTACGAATGAATAAGGTAGTTATATATTTTTATTTCTATCTATAAATTTAAAAATTAATTCTTAATTATTAAACACTAATTAATCATTATTTATCAATTTTACTACATTACATAGATTATATTTATAGAAATTTTTTTTGAAAAATATAGAAAAATATATTTAGCGACTTCTCTTTAATAAAAGAGTTTTTAGTGATTATTTTATCTTTTATCTATTTTATAATTTATTTATCATATTATTTATAAATTATATTTTTTTATAAGCAAAAAATTAAATTAAGAAAAGTACAAGGGGTATTCCAACTCGTTACAAAATATAAAGTTACCTAAACAAAATCTAATATAGCACATATAAAAAGTAATCACTAAATTATAATGTCTATCATCATTACAAAGTGAGGATAAAAAATTGTCATCTAATAATCGAAAAATATCATCAATCCCAAATTGTAGGTAAAAAAAAACTAGATATAAAATTAACACCATGGTGTGTACAGAATCAGAAAGTATCATAATTTCAAAAGTTAAGACAAATACTAAGAGGAGAAAACCAGACTGAGAATGGGTAAGAAAATGACTTATCTTTTGCTTTAATCCAATTCTAGTTACGTAGCTTGATTAATTCCACTAAATCGGTAATTGTCACCACCTTATCTTTAAAAATGACATCGTTTCTAATGAGCCACAAAGATTAAATTATGATAATAAATCTGATTTCCATTGAAATAGACTCCTATGCTAAGACCAAACACACTCAAAACCTCCATCCCTCCAAAGCACCATGTTTGTGACCGATACATCTTTGTTAGAAGTTATAGAGAATAATCTACTATATCGATTAAAAAGAGGTTCATGGTCACTCCAACCATCCTTCCAAAAAAAAGGTATTTTAACCATCCCCCACCACCTTGGTACACCTAGAAGATAACCAATTAAATGATGCATATGGAGTAGAATCAATGGTCCACACATCAACTCACCACTTTAAACTTTGTACTTTATCACCAACTTCCTGAAAACAACCATCCCTATAAATAGAAATGACAACCCTATGCCAAAACCTACTCTTTTCAACTAATAGTCGCCATCTCCACTTTCCTAGGAGAGTAAGGTTAAATGCTCTAAGGTCTAGAATTCCCAAACCACCATGTTCCTTTCCCCTACACATCTCCTGCCAAGCCACCCAAGCAGTTTTCCTATGATTTTCATCCCCTCCCCAAAGAAAGAGTTTAAATAAAGATTCAAGTTTGGAAATGGTTCCTTGAAGAGCCTTGAAGAAGGAAAGATAGTATATTGGAATGAATTTAAGGACTGATTTCAAGAGAACACTATGCCCACCAAAGGACAAAGTTGAAGACTTCCATCTTGAGTTTGAAGAGGTTTGACTGTAAAAGAATACTTAGTTATTGAATCTTGGGGAAACTTTGTATTCAAAGAATATTTTGGTATTTGTTTGAAAAGACAAGTCAAAGAACACTTAGGTTAAGTCATAAGTGACTTGTGAAAGAATACTTGTATCTTCACAAAAGATACTAGAACTTAATTGGGTTGATAAGAACTGGACGTAGTCTCAAAGGTTGAGACAAACCAATACAAAAATATTATGTGTTATTCTTACTTTAACTTTTTGTTTGCACTCATAAGGTCTTGATACTGCTTCACTATTTCAAAAAGTGTTAAGTTTTTTATTGACACCATTCAACATTCTTTCTAGTATTTTTCTTTACTCCATAGATATTAATGGTAATGATGGTGATTTGGAGATTCACAGTGATTATCTCTTAGTTTGAAAGAGAAGAAAAGGTAATTGCAAAAGTAGTTATTGCTTTTGATTTGGTGGGGCCTAAATCAAGTCAACAAAACAAGAAAAGTGGCATCATTGCTAAGGAATAAAAGTTCGTTAACATGAAGATTATTAGGTCGTGAAATCTAGTAAAGCTTGATTTGGCTATTAATGGTAACAATGCTGATTTGGAGATTCACGGCGATTGTCTTATAGTTCAAAAGACAAAAAAAAAATAATTGGATGACAATTATTGCGACTAATATGGTGGGGCCTAAATCAAGTCAACAAAAAGAAATGACATTATTGTTAAGGAATAAAAGTTTGTTAACATGAAAAATGTTAGCTTGTGAAATCCGGTAAAGCTTAATTTGGATATTAATGATAATAGTGGTGATTTAGAGATTGATGGTTATTGTCTTATAGTCCAAAAGACAAAAAAAAAGAACAAAAGATAATCGAATGACAATTATTGCATTTAATATGGTGGGGCATCAAGTCTACAAAAAAAATGACATTATTGTTAAGGAATCAAATGTTATTAATGTTAATCATGATGGTCAATATCAAACACACGACAACAAATGAATTCACATGGTAAACCCTAACATGCACCATGCAAGTCCCCATGTTAATCTATCCTTGGCCCCACCTTCTCATGCTAAATGTAGTATTGTTATTGGTAAGCCTCGACAAAAGAATTCACAAAAGGAAATTGATGTTTCTTTACTCGTAAAAATTGAAAATGTAGGGCAAGTTAGAGTTAAATCAGTGTCTCACAAGGATGAAAGAATCACGCTCTTGAAGAATTAAGGCCTACCCAAAGAGGTTATAGACAATAATGTGAATACAATAGGATCCTCTTAGGAGGTTGACCTTGGTCCTCGATAAAGGTTACCATTATTTTTTTTTATGGCACTTATGGATGACACAAATTTTAGCATGTTATCTTCGAATATTAAAGGCATTATGAATGCTCATGGTTGAAGATATCCAAATAACATTATTAGGAAACATCAATGAATGGTTGTTTATTTGTATGAACCTCATTACAAGTTTACTTGAGCTTAGAAATTCTAGAATAAACTTGAACGTGAGAATTCACTAGTGCAAAAATTGGATTTAAAATCGGAGTTTTAAGATCGATTACAAGGTAACTGATCTTAAAAGTGACGCGGTGACAATTTTGTAAAATAATATGAACACTTTTAAGATCGGTTATTTTATGACCGATTTTAAAAGTGCTTGTAGTATACAAAATCGGTTCTTAAATAACCGATTTTAAAAGTATCGTCAGAAACCTTTTATATTTCCCTCCATTCTCATTCTCTTTAATCTTTTCCTTCATTCCTTTTTTTACTCTCTCACGCTCTCATTTTCTAAAGTCTCCAATAACGTAAATTTCGTTTTTGTTTTTGTCTTCTCATGCTCTTCTTGTGTCTCTTTTCGTTTTCTCATGCTCTTCTCTTGTCTCTATTTTCGTTGTAGGTTCATTTTGTGCAAATTTTGAATCTGGAACGGCCCGTTCTGCAAGGAGAACGACCCGTTCTCTAGGGAGAACAGCCCGTACTGAAAGGAGAACGGGCCGTTCTAATGTCGTTCTTCAAGCAGTCTTTTTAACAACCTGGAACGGCTCGTTCTAGTTTTGGAACGACCCAATTTTTTTTCAGTACCATGACTTTTAAGATCGGTTGTAACTGATCTTAAAAGTTAACTTTTAAAATTGGTTATTTAACCGATTTTAAAAGTCCAACTTTTAAAATCGGTTACGAAACCGATTTTAAAAGTTGAAAATAATCGATTTTAAAAGCCTTTTTTCCACTAGTGATTGTTTTATCTAATAGGCAGATGAACACACAAAAGTATTTGGATTCTTGGTCCAATTAACTAAGATTTTCAATTTTGTCTTGGTAACCTAAAGTATTTATGCTTGTCTGAATCATACTCAAAACCCTATTTAGGTCTATTTGAAATTACTTTGTACAAGCATTTCTACTCCCCAAATGATGTGCGATGATTTCAATGAGATTACTCTCTTTTCTAAGGTAAGAGATGCAAATTTCTATGCATCTAAAGCTAATGTCTTAATGGTTGTCAATGTCATTGATGTTTTCAAAATGTTTGAATTTGAATGGAAGGAATACTTTGTTCCACATAATAAGTGGATGTATTAACATTGCTAAGAAACTATATAGAACTTTGGTATATTTTTATTAGAGAAGAATTTTTCTAAGAACTTATGCTATAAATAATTTTATACTATATTTGGTAAAAAGGAAAGAAATTATTGTCCACTAGAGTTCACACATATAGGTGGATGGACACACAAGGTATTTGGATTCTTACTCCAATTAAGTAAGATTTTAAACTTTATCTTGATAAGCTAAAGTATCTATGCTTGTCTAAATCACACTTAATACATGTTTCCACATTAGTTAAATATTGTCTACTTTGGGCCTAAACTTCCATGATTTTGCTTTTGATCATCCAACGACCTCTTACCAATGGAGGCTTTATATATATATATATATATAAACCCATGCTCATCTTCTTATTCAAACAATATGGGACTTTGATTGTATCCCAACAATGATCTCCTTAAATAAAAGACCGTGTTTTAACCCCCTTGTAGGGAACGCGAGTTCACGAGTCTAATGGTGGTCCATAAAGCTTAATCAAGATTTAAGTACTTGCACCACTACTCCATCATTAATTCACGATAGCGAGACACACTTCCTAATCCTCCATGTTACTAGGAAGACTCTCCTTCATATGTCTCCACATTAGTAATATATTGTCCACTTTGAGCCTAAACCCTCATAGTTTCACTTTTAATCATCGGTTAAAGGCTTCTTTTCAATAAAGACCTTGTGTGTATATAAATTCATGTTCATAAAATCCCGTGCTTTAACCCCCTTGTAGGGAAAGCTAGTTCACGAGTCTAATGGTGGTCCATAAAGCTTAATCAAGATTTAAGTACTTGCACCACTACTCCATCATTAATTCACGATAGCGAGACACACTTCCTAATCCTCCATGTTACTAGGAAGACTCTCCTTCATATGTCTCCACATTAGTAATATATTGTCCACTTTGAGCCTAAACCCTCATAGTTTCACTTTTAATCATCGGTTAAAGGCTTCTTTTCAATAAAGACCTTGTGTGTATATAAATTCATGTTCATCTTTTTGTTCAAACAATGTGAGTACCCCAACAATCCTCCCCATAAACAATAGACCATCGTTTAACTCCCCTTGCAGCGGAAGCCATTAGTTCACAAGTATATTCGATGGTGGTCTATAGAGCTCAATCATGCTCTATGTACTTGTACCGTCGTCCCATCATTAACTCACAATAGTGGGACAAGCTTTCTAACCTTCTCCATGTTACGAAGAAGACTCCTCAACACATGGATCTATTGTTAAAAAGATTTTCAATACAAGGAATTCAAATCTATTACCCTGATCCACATGTTAACTCTATCATACTCGTTGAGTTAGTCATCTAATTGAAACTATTGATTCTGATATCACTTGTTGTACTTCAAGGGCCCCACACACATGTTTTCACATTAGTAGATATTGTCCACTTTGAACTTAAACTTTCATGATTTTATTTTTGATCATCATCTAAAAGTCCTCTTATCAGAGTCATTGTGTATATATAAACACATGTTCGTTCTCTTATTCAATTAATGTAGGACTTTAATTTTATCCCAACAAAAATGAGGGGAGAAGAAAAGAAGAGAAGTGTAAGAAAATAAATAAGTAAAAGAAAAATATAGTGAAATTTTTTTTATAGATAATTTTTTAAATTAATAAATAATTTTTTATTGTTTTAAAATATTTGTTTACTATTGTTATGGTGATACTCATCTTTATTTCAAAGATGTTCGTGTTAATAGCTCGCGAGAATTTGCTATACAATTGTGACTTTCAAATACTTTTCATTTGCTGTTTTTAAATGTTGGGAGCTATTATAGTCATGTTGTGTGTGACACTTGGACATGGTTCACTTTCAAAATTTGTGACCATTTAGCTTCATTATCTTGTATGTAGCTAGCAAATAACTCTCCTTGGTCCTTGCGATCTTTTTGTACTAGACTTTCGTTGGGTTTGGATGTTTCACATACTTGAAAAAATAAAGCTGCTCATTTGACTTATTTTACATTATTATTTCCTCATTTTCCTGGAATGAGTTATGTGTAAGAAGGAATTTAGCAAATCATTGCAAGACTTATTCTTTCCAAATGGAACATGTTCTTCATTGCCTTTGTCAGTGCTTCATAACTTGAAATCGTCTCGTTCTCTTAGTTGTGTTTTTTATTTTTATGTTTAGATGTTTTGGATTAGTTGAAACATAACTTGAAATCACATTAGAGTTTCCTATTTTTAGATACTATTTGGTGGTTTGGTATTGGGGCAATAACCATATCATTGATAATGAAATTTGATCTATTAATATAGTTATTTGTTCAAATATTTGAGATTGTGTTTGCTATCTTAATTTTCTAGAAATTATATGTATACTCCCTATTCTTTTATTCCTACACAAACTCTCTTAATTATTTAAAAAAATATTACACTGTGTCCTTATAGTGTATAATCTCATGAAACATTATGTATTAGTGTAATTTATTCATAATTAATAATTAAAAATTTATTAAAAGAGTTACGGTCTCTGATAATTTTTACGCACTGGGGTGAATATTCAAATTCCAATTGAGGACCTGAAATCACAACTTTAGGAGCCCACTGGACAGGCTAAGAGGATGGTTTCAACATTTGGGCCCAGTCAGGCCCAAAACCGTACTCGTCATTCACGTCCCTCAACAATGGCTGACGATAGAGAAAGACTCTGCAAAACCCTAAATCGAGTTCAGTTCCTCACTCTTCGTCTCTGATGGCAACATCCATGCTGAAAGCTCCACTCAATGTGTTCCACAGACACCACAGTCACCTCGCTTTCTTCTCCAATGGCGCCAGTGCGAAGAACACTGTCCCTATCTCGCAGAAGAGGAGATCGCGTTTGTTTCCCGTAGTATCAATGGCAGCCACACCGGTTCAAAATTTTCTCCAGAAATCCACGCCTTCGAACCATCACACTGGTGTTCCAATAATGGTGATTTACCATGACGCTTCTTTTTTTATCGATGAGTCGAAATTATTAGTATTTGTGACATGTTGATTTGTTGCCCTGAACGCTAGTTGTGGAACGCAATGCAATTAGCTTACATGCGTTTAGCTTTAATTTGTTTAGGTTAATGCGTGTACTGGGAAAATGGGAAAGGCTGTGATTAATGCGGCGGAAGCTGCTGGAGTGCATGTTGTTCCTGTGTCATTTGGGTGTGAAGAGGAGTCTGGAAAGACTCTTCAGATCGGTGAAAAGGAGTTTCTTGTGCATGGTCCTTCTGACAGGGAGAGTGTTCTTGCATCTGTCCTTGATAAATATCCAAATTTGATTGTTGTGGACTACACAGTACCTTCTGCAGTCAATGGTGTGTATTTTGAAGCATGTTTTCGTAGGGTAAATAGTATATGGATTAATGGTGTAAAGAGTTTTTTACACTGTTATGTAATAACAAACTGTCTTATATAGTAAGTTTGGCTTCTATAATAATTATCTTAAAAGTTGTATCGCAATGATTTCTGATGGGTTGAAAGTGTAAAGTTTTTTGCATTGAATGTGCACTAAATTAAACTCGTTTTACTATCATTAGAGTGAAGCTAAAACCTAAGCTCCATCTTTTTCATTATGTATATTATGAAATCTCACTAGTGGCAAAGGAAAGGAAAAATCTTCATGTTTCAAACTCGTATATCTTTTATGGTTTCGCAGTTTCACTGTGATTTATCTTAAAATGAAGCTCTTTATATTATTTTGGTTAACAACTCTTTACATCTTTTTTAGGTGTACAATGGTGGCAATGAGGACAAACTTAAGTCATCATGTATCTACCCCAATTCCCCCACCTTTAGGACGACTCTAGTGATTTACAACTCTTTACATTTCAAAGATAGGAATTGAGGATGTTGTATATAAATGCATAGAATATGTAGGCTGTACATGTCTTTCTCATTGACTAGTGTACATTATGAATCTGCAATTCCAGACACAATTGAGGACAAACTTATCCGGACTTTTGTGATAGATACAATTGGACTTTTGGGTTTATGACTTCTCATCTAGGATTAGGAGTGTTTTATGAGGACTGTAATAGGATTGGATCTATTTATGAATTCATGTCAATGTGCAGGCAATGCAGAGTTATACAGTAAGGTTGGGGTGCCCTTCGTGATGGGGACCACAGGAGGAGATAGGGACTTGTTGCATAAAACTGTTGAAGACTCGAAGATTTATGCTGTGATATCACCACAAATGGGAAAGCAGGTATGTCATAATATATAAGAGAACCTTGATCAAAATTTCATGCCTTTTACAGTCTTGTATTTTGTCACCCTTATATTTTGCTATGTTTTACTTTCCTTTTAGGTTGTTGCTTTTCTTGCAGCTATGGAAATCATGGCAGAACAATTTCCTGGAGCCTTCTCTGGTTATTCTTTACAGGTATATCCTAGTACATCCCTTTAATTGTCTCTGCTTAGCCTAATGTCAAAATAAAAATACTACTATTATTTTGTGTGGGGAGGGGGACTGGCCGACAGAGTCACCCTTTTTCCTCATGCATCTCTTTCTATTCTGTTCCTACTGAAACTAAAACTAAAATCACTGAAAGAGGTTCAAATAGTCAGGTTCAGGTTGTACAAATAAAATGTCAATAGCTTTAAATTGTGTGAAACTTGAACTGATTGTGTGCAAGTAAATCAGTTGCTTAAATCGCTAATTTAGTTGGATTGGCAATGCTTGTTCGATAAAATACTCTCCTGCTGTTTGCAATTGGAAAGAGAGTCACAGCAATGCTGATGTTAATATCATACTTGTTGCAAAGCCAAAAGTATTACAGCAGATTTTTCTCTTAACACAAGATAGTATATCATATCCTATGTTGCTACTAGTTTGGAGATATTCTTAAGGGATCTTGTTTTGGGGATATTCTTAAGGGATCCTTTTTTGGTATATATTCTTTAGTGATCTTGTTTTGAAGAGCAAGCTATATAAATGTTCAATAAAAAATGTTAGCTTACATGTATGATGTATCTAATCCTAAAGTAATGCAGTTTTGTTTCTTAAACTCTTAATGTTAATGCTTCTTTTCTTTTAATTAAGCTTTTTTTGATGTTATATTAAAATCTGATGTATTTGTTCAAGATTGTAGGTATTGGAGTCCCATCAAGCAAGCAAAGTTGATGCATCTGGAACTGCAAAGGCTGTAATTTCTTGCTTCAACAAACTGGGAGTGTCTTTCGATATGGATCAGGTATGTTAGATCACATCTCAGGGTTCATTATGGTTGAGCACAGTATGCTCTTGACTGTTGCTAAACTCCTTGGTTGCTGAACCCCGTGCATCTGTGTGGTCTCTGAATTTTATTAGATGAACATATTAGTATCACTATCAACTGTGTTTTTCATATTCGGTGATCTCACAATTTTACTGAGATGATTTATTGGTTCATAAGTTTTGTTCATATTAAGGTCTAACACACATAACTTAATGTGACCGCCAAGTTGCCATTCTGTTCTTTGCACATATTACACTATTGTGCCTTCTTACCAGAAGTATGGATTCTTACTGGGTTTTTTTCCCCTTCTTTTCAATGAATTTCTTTAGATAAAATTGATCAGGGATCCCAGGCAACAACTTGAAATGGTTGGAGTCCCAGAGGAGCATTTGTCTGGTCATGCATTTCATATGTATCATTTGACATCCCCAGATGACACGTAAGAATTATCATTTTCTTTTATGTTTGGACATGTTTCTCCTTGTCACTAACTATTTATCTTTCTTAAATTCTGTTCTTTAAATTTTTTTTTTTTGCAGAGTTACATTTGAATTTCAACATAATGTTTGTGGTAGATCAATATATGCGGAGGGCACTGTTGATGCTGTATTATTTCTTGCTAAGAAGGTGCTTATACTTCCTTTTAATTTGCCTGTCATATCATCTGATTATCCATCTTAATTGATGATTACGGGTGGCCTTCTTTTTTAAAATATATAATTATAACTACAAGGGATTTGTTCAACACCCTGAATTGGATGTTTCATTGTTCAATCTCGGTATAAATTTGTTTCAACAAGTAATGCATTACTGAGATCATACGATAGCTCTTAGCCCACGGAATTTTTTTTAACCACATCACTAGTGCTTTGCTTTGGAAGCTTTATAAGTTTTTGATAATTACCACATTATCAACGGATGGCATTCTACCATGCTGTTCTGTTCTATGAGAAATGTACTATTCTAACCATTCACTGTATACAATCTCTGATTGGGAACTTGCTTGATGTATGCAGATTGAAGAAAAGGACCACAAGAGAGTGTATAATATGATTGATGTCTTGCGAGAGGGTAATATGCGATGAAATTTTCTTTGCAATCTGGATGCAGTTTTTGAGAACCAAGTAATTTTCATCTTCTGTCCTTTCTCTGTTAAGTTGAGGAAAGTGTAGTGTATGTATTATGATGAATTGACTAGTTATGTAAGCACTGTTTTTGGGGATCAATTTTGACATTTTTATTTAGTTTAATGAAACCTGTGTTATCACCTCACAAGCGCTTTTCTTTTATCATAATTTTTGTTTAACTTGTATCGTTATGGTTATTTCGTGATAATTTTTCATCTTCAATCATGCGCCTACTTTGCCTAAATGATTAAAACTCATGTTTATTTGAATTTCAGATTGTAAGAAACTAAAAATAAGATGATGTCAATGGAATTGATTAAGAAAATTGACGTAGAAAAGCGAATTTACCAAGTAGACCATTTCTAACCCCGAAGGATTTGATAATAAATCAGATTACAAGTTTAATTTTATTTATTTGTGAGCCTCAGCCAAGAAATAATAATAATATAATGAAAGTTTAGTAGCCAGAGCGTATCAAAGCATCATCTACCTTCAACTTATTGAATTTAGTGTCCAAGTTTTCAACCCCACCACCATTCCCAATCTCATTCCGTAGAGAGCGGTGAAAAAAAAATAAACAAAGTCCTAAGCATAAGGCCACCAAACAAATAAAATATGAGAAATCTAGAACGTCGCACGACGGCTTTTCGGAATCATTCGACGTCATTAACAGTGGCCACTCGTAATATTAAATACTATTTAGATAGCCACACGTAATATGTAACCACCAACAAGCAAACCTCATCTATGCGAAGTGTGTATTTATTGGTATATTTGTTTAAACTTTTTTCTCTAAAATAGTGTCTTTCTATTTAATAAAATAGGTAACTTTTTTCTTTTAAATAATCAGCTTTTAATTATTTTTAATAAAAAAACTCTTATTTTTTTAAGTAATTATTTTTATAAAAAAAACACTCTTATATCTCATAATTAAATTATTCAAAATTTAAATAATAATTTTAAGTATAAAATAAACTTTCATAACTTATACTAATACTATGATTATTTAAAAATAAAAAGTCATTTATCTTTTAATAATCACAACTTTTGTTTTACAACTCTTAATTATTTGTCAATATATTTACAATTTCTCAATATATTATTTGTATACGATCTTCTCTAATAACTGTAATTTTCCACAATACATGTGTTATAAAGTTCATTCTCTTATCTTTATATTTTATTTTTTATTTAAAAAAACACGTAAATTCACAAAAATCCATCAAATTTAGATAAAAATATTTTAAAAACCATTTCAGTAAATATTTATCAATTATACAAAATAAATTCTATGTTTAAGTATGTTAATGAAAATAATTTTAAAATAATCTATTTCATTTGAATAATTTAAAATAATCATTTTAAAATAAAATTAAAAATAATGAAATTTATAACAAGTAATTTTGTACAGTACTTAATTGTATAAATAATTTATTAGCTTTTAATCATAACCGAAAAAATCTTTAATTACTATATACATGTATAGCACTAGATTTTTTAATTATTGAGACTAATCTCTAAAATTAATTCAATCCAAATGCGCACCTAAGACTATATTTGATATAATTGTAAAATTTAAATTATTTTAATAATCAATTACGCAAAACATTTTTGTTCGAGTTTACTAAAAAGTACTTATAAGATATTTAGTTTTATTTACATAATAAAAAGCACTTGTACATAATAAATCAGGTTTAAGAGGAAAAAAATACTGGTGGAAAAATAATCATAAATTTTAATTTTCTTTTGCATGAAAATAACTAATTTTTTTTTAAAAAAATTTCTTTTTCAAATGTCAAATTGTCTCTAACATTAAGCATACCACTTATTTTTCAAAGTTAAAAAAAAATCTGGGGAAATTTTTTTTCCCAAGCATGTCAAGTAGTAACAAACAAATGTAATTATGTAAAAGGTAACCCACAGCTACAACACGAGGAATTGCTTGCAAAAGCTGAAAAGCACCAACAAAAAACCAGAATACCTTAACTAAGATAGCATTAGAAAGTTCACACCAATATGGTTAATACACAACCAATTAATTATACAGCGGTTGGCAATCCTCTCTTAAAGTCTAAACTAAATCCCTAATACTCTCTTCAATTTACAAACTTTTAAAGTCGTCATCCATTTCTGTGAAATCTAATAGAATACAGAGTTTATGTCCTAAAAAACTGACATGCAAAGAATTAGTTCTGGTCTATATAGATGGATTTAGATTGTAAAACTCAGCTGATCCACCCCTCTGAAAACTGTTAGCACCAAGTTGTAATTTTGGGCTTGTAATATGCCAAAATTACATAATCAGCAGTGCAATTACTGGTTTCAACCTGCTGCTACGGCATCAGCCCTAGGATTTGTATCCAGTAGTTGATGCAGCTTTGCACCAGAATTTGGTTTGTTCTCACAGAAATCATTTTCATTCTCTGCAGTTCTATCATTAGAACTGGAATTGTTAACTCTTGATAGCAAGTTCTCTGTACTTACAGGCGTAGACCTCTTGTTGTCAATGCTGGTCAAAATCATCTCTTCCCTTGGTCCCAGTTGAGTGTTTCTCACTTTTTCCTGAGTCAAAAATCAATTAAGTACTCAATAAATCACAGAATACCTAAGAAATTTCACAGTATAAAGGAATATTTTGGGAGCAGTACCCTCAATCCAGAATTTTCCATCCTCAGCTGCTCAGAACTTTCTGTCAATTGAGTTATTTCTAACTTCAGTGTCACATTCTCAGCAGTTAACATCTCAACTTTTCGTGCCAGTTCTTCAGCCTCAGCCTAGACACAGGAAATATGAATATACTAGTCATTAACTTTACTCTTGTCAGAACAACCTTTTTCCTTTTAGTTTTTTTATTTACTTTTTGAGGGCTACATGCACATATCACCTTAGAATAAGCATAGGATAAATAACCAAATTATGTATTTTATCATACACACTGGAAGTTTTGCATGTCAACAACAGAATAATTTATACCTGTTTCCTCAGTCTGGACCTTCTAGCAGATTCACGGTTAGATTGTTTCCTCCTCTCACGTTTCAGCTCACGCTCGTTCTAACGAAATCAAACATGTGCATGGGAATTAATTTATCATCAGTAAAAGATGGAGGGTACTGCATGATTATTGTAATGTATTTCACAAGCATCTCTACTGTACTAGGGACATGATCTGAAACAATAGAATGAAGCATTATCTGACTATACCTGTAGCCAAGCTTCAGAAGGCACAACTGTACAGGGTTGTGGGCCAGTTGGGGCATTTCCCTTAGAATGAACAGTCGAAGGGTTTCTAAGCTCCAGTGCTGTGGTCATACCTGAAGAAACTACAGGTGCAACAAATTTTCCTGCAACACTAGCCGGGGTAGCTGTTATAATCTTTTTGGAAGATGCAGTCTCTTTGGAAACTGGCCCATCTTGTATCTCAGTTTTCCGTTCTCCATCTGCTTGTACAGTTTGATAATATATATAACCATCAAAACATGTATTATGTTGACAACCTAACTTATAAAATTAATAGCTTAATATACTTGAATATCACACTCTGGATGCAATTATCACATTTTCTTGATGATTACAAACAAAGGACACCAAAAGCTTGACTGTGTGAAGTGTGAAAACCAGGTAAAAGCCCATCCAAGTATCACATTTGTCAAACTAATCAGAAAGTTAAAACTTCGGTAATTTCACTATATATTGTGCATAAGTAAAACATATAAAGACCATAGTATCATACTCAATGATTTAGTTGACATCATTGCACAGTGATGACACCAAAAGTATAATTGAGATTCAAGGCAACTCTATTGTTAATCAAGATGCAACAGTGATTAAGAGTCATACTGGTGGTTGGTGTTCCCTCTCGGCTTCTTTTCCCTTTAGTTTGATTAGCCTGAGCATAAAATTAGCAAATAACAAAATTTAATGATCAATTTGTCAGATCATTTTAAATAAAGTGCACTGTTAGTGCACACAGACAGGAAAATCATGTTAATGGTGAAAAAGTTCTCACCCCTGCAGTGTTGCCATCACTTCCATCACTGGAACCCTCAGTATCCACACTGTTCATATCACCATAAAAGTATTCAGTTATTCATATCAACCTAATAGAATACCTCACGGATCAATCTTCTACATGGGGGATGAGAGCAGAGTTCATTCTGGTAATAATCATATAGAAAGAAAATGGATCAACAAACCTTTGTGACAGCCTGTTTTCAGCTCCACGCTCAGCACTCTCAGCATTGCCATTGCCAATTGACATTGCAAGCCCATCAAATCCTTTCAATTTCTTCATTAAACCCTGATCAGTATTTCCAGATAATTTGGTTGGTGATTCTATGCTTGAAGGAGTCCCGGCCTACATTATTTCACCAAGTCAAATCCATCAAAATTGATACTATTCGGGGTATCAATCAGAAGATTAGGAACTAAAACATTTAAGAGAAAATCAAAACTTACAGCAGGTGAAGATGGAACTCCTTGACCATGTGGATGTGGCCCCTATATTTTACCAATATAATTCATGAGTACATGGGAAATTTTCCAATCACAGAGGTTTGTTACATTAAGAAGATCAAAGAATCAAGAGGTTAATAACAGCAGAAAAGCACCCACATATGAATAACTTCAAAAATACCAAGGGAAAATAGGAATCACCTCCCAATATATTCTAACCTTTTAAAGTCCAGATTTATTTAGAAATTAAAGTACACTTACAAGTTATAATCAACCAATTCATGGACCAAAAAAATAATGAACATAAAATTATTACAAATACAAACACACAGAGTAGACTTACAATAGCAACTGTAGGGTGAGTATAAACACCTCCATGCGAATAAAATGCTGCATAAGGTGGCCCATAAGGTGGCATCATAGCCTGGAAGAAACAATAAATTGGCAAATTATCATCCCTTCCATCTAGGATGTATACTAGGAACATCTAAAAAAGCACAGAAATGATAATGGTAAAACAAATAAATGTTTCTTTGGGGCACTACCTGTGGCGGTCCCCACATGTATGGGTGTGGAGCATGACCAGAAGCCACAGCTGAGTTGAAGTATGGTGGCATGTTGACTCTTGGCCCATAATACTAATATACAGCAAAAATGGTTGGCAATTAGCAAGAGGGAACAAAATAATAGGTTTCATCAGATCATCAATTTAAGAATAGGTAAAAATGGAAACAAATGGACTTAGTGGTGGTGGTTGACTAAGTGAGAATTGTATTGTTTAAACTTTAAACTACCACAATGTCTATTTTTGGGGGGGATAAAACTTAAACTATTAATATTTTTAAAGAAGTTATTATATTAAAGTAAATTTAGATAAAACAAAAACTACGACATGAAGACTTAAATCATTAAGGTACAAAGGAGATGAAGAAAAGAGGTAGGTAACCTGCATGGCAGCCCAATCAGGATACACATGAATGTTAGGCTGGTTGGTCTGATTGGTCTGATCCTGTTAACCAGGTAAGAAATAACAGTATTTAGGCACAGACTTTATAAAAGGTCTCCTCACACATGCATAAACTTTTCTCAGCTTACAGTTGTAGCAGGTGAAGAAGGACTTCCAGTCTTAACAGATTTCCCTTCCTCACTGTTTCCCATGAGGTAAGCACCAAAAGTAAAGCGCCGAGTCAAATACGTCCCAGCAAATTATTCAACTGCATTCAAAGAAGCTACGTTGTTAGCAAGAAAATGTTGCAAAAAAAAGAAAGGAAGAGCATTTCCAACGTTTCAATATTACTACTTTGTAAACAAAACATTAACATCGGATGCAGGAATGAAATACAGCATTAAATCAAAGGTGTGAGAGAGGTTATAGGCTTCTAGTAACAGTATAATAACAGTGAGAATTTGGTTTACTCCGTTAATGACTAGTTGGCATTCAGACAACATATATTACAAAACTTAACCTCGGCAATTTAACATTAAGATGGTGTAAGCTACTATAGAGATAGTCAGATAGCAGCATACAAAATATTACACTTCTGTTGCAAAAAAGGCCATAAACAAAACGAATCCTCGATCAATGACAGAATGGTAGAGGGTCAACTATGTCTTTTTCTACCCCATAACGGATAGAAAGCGATGAACACAAACTAACAATGCATAACATAACAAATCAAACCCAACAGGACAATCCGAGAACATAATGACAAAAAAGCCCCTCAAATAAAAAATTCTTTTCCACTCTCATGATGGCAGGAGATGACTATTGAGACTCCAAAATTTGCTACCTGAACCTCCAAAATTCACAATTTACAGGTTTTACCCCTGATCCAAAATACCCCCTTCTCTCCCCCTTATTATTTTTTTCAGCTATTTCATATGGGAAAACTATATTTACAAACAAACAAAAAACAAATTAGCATAAAAACAAAAGCAATCAAAGCACAAAAAAAACGCAAAATTCAAAGACTTTAACACATACAACACGAGATCCAGGGCACTCCCAACTCCAATCCCCTTGTTCCATTAGCTAAGATATAGAACCAAAACACCCAATTAAAAAAAAAAAAACTATTTTTTTTTATAAAAAAAAATCGTTGTTTCAACAATCCAAAAACTCAAACTGAACAAGATAACATCTTCCTCCGTTCATAAATTTCAACGACGGTTTCCCCTGACCATAAAACTTCAAAATTATACGAACCCAAAACCAAAATAAAATCTTTCCGCAGTAGAGTCAAGAAAGCACCGAAATTCGACGTACCTGAGAGATTAAGACAGCGAACTCTCGTGGTTAAGAAAAAACCTTGACGAAAATCGTGAATTGAAAACAAAAAAAAGGAAGAACAATTGGTCGTGGAGGGTTGGAAGTATCCTGAAATTGAGGTGTGGAAAAGCAATTGGGCTTGTTGTGGTGTGTTCTCTCTCTCTCTCTCTACTTTCTCTCTCTTAAAAAACGAGGGAAAGAGGTTTGGTTGGGTTTGAGAGAGAGAAGGGGGCGGTGAAAAAGAAGGAGGAGGAGAGAGAGAGGTCCACGTCACCATACACGTGTTGTATGTAGGAGGTGGCGTATGCCTACGCCCTATATACGGTGGGTTGGGCGAGTGTGGTGGTTGTTGAGCTGGCCATTAATTTATTTCAACTTCATCGCCACCGTACACGTGCTCATCTCTCAGGGGGTCCACCCTAATTTATCCCTCTTCTCTCCTTACGTGCTCTTTCGCTTTTTATATTATTTTAATTAATCCAAACATATTTACTAATAATATTAATGTAAAATATTTATTCCCATCAAATGACTAATCTCTATCAAAATTGTAAATCGTAAGTATTTTTTTTTTCCTTAATATAATTTATTATATATGAAATTATAATTCAAATTGATTAAATAATGTAAATTGATATCACTCGTCTTAACAGTATATTATTATTATTATTATTATTATTATTATTGTATTATTGGTGTTCATAAATATCTTTGTTTTAAGATATATTATTTATATGTCAAAATTTCTCTTTCGTCCATTTTGTATTTAATTGATTAGATTTGGTGTCATTATTGTTAAAAATTTAATTTGATTTTTTAAATGATGGAATGTTAATGATATTAATTTATATTACATGTGGCAAAAAATAAATGATACATATTTCCACATGTGCAAGAGAGTAATAACATTAATTTAAATAAGATGAAAATGAGATTATATGGTTCTTAACAATTAAGAGACTTAAGTTAAATCTTTTTAATAAGATAATTAAGTGTCAAAGAAAGTAAAATTATATATTAATTTTTTTAAAAAGATAATTTTAATTTTTCTAACGGTTAAATTATGTAATTATATATATATATATATATATATAAAATCATATTATATGATAAAATAAAGTGGTGAAATAAATTACTAAATAATTTTTTATTTTATAAAATTGGATATATATATATATATATATAATCATATATGTAATAATGTATAATTTAAAAGTTTAATTGTCTAAATTTCATACTTAAAAAAAGTCACTAAATATGTAATTTTACTAATATTCATCTTTGATATCAAGTTTTCAACCTATTATTATGAGTTTTTTTAATAATAAAAAGACTAAAAATAAACTAATTAAATAAAAAAGACAAGGCAAAACAATATTTTAAAGTTGTTCTCCTATTAAAATTTAATAAAACAATAATATATGTATAAACATCGCATTTAAAATTGATAATGGGTTCTAAGGTAAAAGTCTAATTATAATTGCAAATGGTAACAAAATGTTTGAAATGAAAATATACGAAACTAGATTTAATGAGTTCTTTAGAATCCACGAATAGCTGTTTGATCTTTCACTCTTCTGACGCGGCACGTTGAGAAATACTAATGTAATTTATAGAGTTTTTTGGTTATTGCAGATTTTTTTTTTTTTTCAAATTACAACATACTTTGTGGATATTTCTAGGATTATTAAAACAAGTTACTTGGTTGACCCACATAGGTGAACTAATTAATCTTACTTATCTTTTAATAAATTTACAGAAAATGAGTATGAATGAATCACTACAATTTGGTGGGTTAAACGAATTCACTTAATTTTAAATTTTTTTAAAAAAATCTATATATTTTTTTTCTAAGGTTCAACTCAGCTTTCCATTCCAATGATTCAACACTTTGGTCCACCCGTGAGCATATATGGAACAGTGGCAATGGGAGAGCTTGTGCATGGAAAAAGGGTGGTCATGCAAGGGCAGTGCGTAGTACGAGAGGGGCTGTGTGTGGGATGATGGTAGTGCATGGTGGTGGTCGCATGATGACGATCACGTGGTCGTGATTGTGTGGTGACGGTCACATGGAAATGGTCGCACAATGGTTATGTGTGTGGAAGGGTTAATGGCAGTGACAATGCACGTGGTGTGGAACGTGCTTGCAGAAGGGTCTGTGGCGGTGGTGATGCATGTGGACGTCGTTGGCGAAGACGATGAGTGACAACAGAGATAACCCTAACCTAAGTCCCTTAATGTGGAAACGCCTTTAACTTAAGTGAATGAAGTAAATGAAGAGAATCAATTTGCCCCTCCCTAACCCTTGTGGGTTAGGCTCACTGCCTGTGGATTTTAATTTTTTTTTATGTTAGTGGGCTTAGCCTCTATTTTTTGTTTGTGTTAATGGGTTGGTGAGCCAATCTAGCTCACTATGAGTTCAACTCGAATGAGCTGAGTTCATAGTAAGTCAGGCTGAATTTCTAACAGTACTAAAATTTACAAATTTTGTTTAGTCCAACCTGATTTGAACCCATGGTAGATTGGATTGACTCATAGGTTGTGACTCATTTTGAATACTCTAGATATTTCATTTTTGAAACTTAACATTTTTAACATTAATTGTAGTAGTGTTCACCATATTTATATTTATAGTTAAGGTAAATTTTAGGATGAAAAGTTGTTTTCTTTAATGGAGCGAAAAAGAAACAACAAAATCAAGAACAAGATTACACACATAAGTAATGCACTCCTCTAGCATCAACTAAGAGCTAGCGAAGAAGCTCATAAGGTGGGGAATCCAACTCTTACAATGCAATGTCGGAGTTTTGGCCCAATTTAGCCAACAAGTTAGTGCACCTATTCCTTTCTTTAAGTGTATGTTGAAGCTTGATACTCCATGATTTCTAAAGAAACTCCTTGATATTCTCGATAATAACAACAAACTTGTGGAAGGGTTTTTCAAGTTTTGTCGTTAAGGACAAACCATAGGTAGAATCGGTGCAACATAATACTTATGTGAATCATTTCTCCCATGCTAACATGAAGCCCTCAACAAAGCTAATAATTCAATTTTGGTATTATAAACGACTCCAATATCACCAAAAAAGCATGTAATCCAATCTACCTCCCTCATCTTGGAAAAGCCCTCCTATACCAATTGGCTCTGGTTGTTCGAGAAAGCTACCACCAATGTGAAAAGAAACATAGTTGAGAGTTACTTTCAAGCATACCATGCTTTTTTCGCCATATCGAGTCCCAAATAAAGAGGAGAGCAGGATGTACACACTCTGCGTATGCGAGAAAAAAAGAAAGACACTAGAAGGGGGTTGAATAGTATTTATCAAAAGCTCACACTTTTTCAAATCAATGAAGTAGTATGAAACGAATAGATATGGAGACGAAAAGCTAATCAAAAGAACATAAAGTGTTTTATATTGGTTCATCTCAACCATTGAGATTGCATTTAGTTTTTGGTCAAACTTGATCAAGTTCCATTATCTTTGCAAAGATACAAGTATTATTTCACAAACCACTTTTGGCTCAACCTAAATATTGTTTGATTTGTCTCTTCAATCAACTACCCAAGTATTCTTAAATGAAAAGTCTCTCCAAACTTCAAACACCCAAATATTCTTTTTTAGTTGGGCCTCTTTAGGCTCAAAACACGAGTATTCTTTAACAAACTAGCTTCTTCAGACTCAAAGCAATAACATAAATTAAAGCTGAGTAAACTAACAATGTTGTTTCGTCTTACTATTCAGATGTGATACAACCAATTAATTCCAAAGCCTTTTTAAAGGAAGAATGGATATGATTTTTACAAAATGTGTTATCTATGTCTTTTTGGATTTCAAACTTCCTTTTATAAGGCTTTAATGAAGATGACCATTGCAAATTCTTGAACATTTCTCACAAGCTTGCTTCGTTTGTCTTCAGTTTTTCATTCCTTGTGGAGAGAAGTATCTGTTGATGCATTAGTTGCTTGCATTAAATGTGTTTCACCAAATTGTCACTTATTATTTAATCAAAGAAGCTACTTATCACCCTTTAGATGCCAAACAAATGGGGTCATACGTGTGTCAATTCAAAACAATTTTTTTTTAGGTTTTTTGTGATTCATAAGATTTGCTAAATCATGTCCTTCTTTTCTTTTGCCATTACAAGTATCGAGGAAGTTATTTTGCTTCAATATATTAAAGAATAATATACACAAAGATTGATTTTTAGTTATCAAATATCATAAATAATATTAATTCAAAGTAAATGTCTTATTGATGAAGTATTTTGTCTAATAGACACTTATGTTAAGATAATGAATCGTCTTAATGCATTCGTCTTATATAGAGAATTCATATTATTGAATGGTTTAAAAAAATTTCTCTAAAAATGCTTATATTTATCATTAAAACTTATAGCTAAGAGATTTAAGATTGTCTTTTGACTTAACAATCTCTCCATTTTTAATGTTGATAAACACATTTTTGAAAAGAAAAAGTCTTTTTTTATAGATGAAAGATTGCTTTTGAAAACTGACATATGATATATTCCTTATTGAAAGACTTATTGATGGAGGATCATCCATAGGAAGCTCACACTTGAAAGCCATTTTAAATAGGTCCATGGTTAGGAGGCTTGAGAAGGCTTTTAGAGAGAAGGTGATTCTTAGACCTATGTTTTATATGAGTATTGAGTATGTTTCCTCTACTTAGTCTCATAGTCACTGGCATATACTTTGTATAGTTTAAGTACTTTCCTTGTACACAGTAGATACATATATAACCTTATTTTTGCCTTTGTATTTTTTAGGCACTTTTATCTTTCTTCATAGGAACTAGATGGGTATTAAAAAATAATCTAAATGAACAAGATAAAGTTGTAAAGAATAAGGCTAGATTGGTAGCTCAAGACTACAATCAGTATGAAGGTATTGATTTCACTAAAACCTTCACTTGTATTACTAGACTTAAAGCTATTAGGGTCATGTTAGCTTTTACAACTCACAAAAACATAAAGCTTTTCAAATGGATGTAAAGAGTGTCTTTTAAAATGGAATAATTGAGGAGGAAGTGTATGTCAAACAACCTTCGGGTTTTAAAAATCCTAATTTTAGAGAACACATTTTCAAACTTAAAAAGACTCTTTATGGTATGAAATAAGCCCCTAGAGCTTGGTATGATATACCAAGTAACATTTTACTTAGCAATGATTTTGTGAGAGGTAAAGTTGACACAAATCTCTTTA